CAATATGGTATTAGTTGAATAGTTTAACAATATGGTATTAGTTGAATAGTTTAACAATATGGTATTAGTTGAATAGTTTAACAATATGGTATTAGTTGAATAGTTTCTACAGCATCTACTGAACTGAAAATTATAGCTCATCATTATAACATACACTGAAAAGTATTATTATTAAAAATATTCCTCAGTGTTTTCAGATGATTTTGTTAACTAACTACTAAAGAAAGTCACAAAAATACTTAGTTATAAATCAAGATAAAAGAAAACTAAAATACATAATGACGAAACTGCACTAAATCATTAATGGGGGTATCTTTTCACTGATATTTTTAGATTTTATCTTCATATTATCTCACAAGATTTAGCTAGTTTAAGTGATTTAGATGAGTCCTAAATCTATGAACTACTCCTACACTGTAAAATAAACTATGCAACTTAAGGTACTTATGATATAAAAATTTATTCTAAACTCATGAATACACCAATCATTTGTCAATTAGTTCCAATGAAAATAATTGAGTGGTACATAGAAAACAAATATTCTTATAAATTTAGTAACATTTCTATAAGCATGACCTACTATTAGTGAAATTGTAGGATATCGATAGCTCCCAACGAAGCTGTAACAGCGAAATATTGAGCTAATAAAGTTACATTCTGGAGATATAGAAATGTCTCATAATAAACTTCAGTTTGCATTAAACAAAGTTAAGAATAAAAATTTAGTAACAGAAATTATTTAAAATTACAAAAATGATTAAAATTTCCACAGAAATGCATAATAGCTGCTTATATGGAGAATTCTACAAGTGTTCTCTAACTGATTTCTTAGAAAAATTTGACACTTGTCTCTATCTAATTCTTCTAAACAACAGTAGTGAAAGCAGAATTCTCATACACATTACTTTGCTTAGTTTGATATAAGAACTTCATTGTTAATACATACCATTATACGACCACTTTCTATTAAAATGCCATCATTTCTAAACCAGGTGTATGAAGGAGCTGGATCTCCAATGGCATAACAGCTAAAAACAATTTCATCATTTTCTTGTATTACTACATCTTTGATCTTCTCACGGAAATAAGGCTCCATACCTAAAAATAATTTCTGTTATTAACACCTTAGTGTAAATTCTCACTACTGAAAAATTACTAAACAATTAAGATTTCTCATAGTTATAAATATCCCACCTAAATTCCAATATCAAAACATTTGAAGCTCACCAATTAAAGTTTCTCGTGTTTTGCCTTTGTCTTTCCATGCCTCATTCTTCAAAGTTTCTAGTTGTTCATGTGCATAACCAAGTGAGCTTAATTCATGATGGAGACGCATTGGTTTAGTTCTTGTGGCTACTCCTTTCTTTTCATCGTCCATTTCTTCATCCCAAACGTCGAGGAACCTTCGTCGTTCTCTGACAGCAACCTGAAAATATCAGACAATTTATGTGGTGATTTTTAACTTCTGAACATCTAAATATGACAAGTATTGGCACTATTGTAATTTATAGAATAGGCATTAAGAAAAAAAAATGAAAAGAAAGTTAAAAGCATAACTCACTTGAATAGTAGAAACTTGACAATTTTTTCTAACAAATTTCATAATATTACTTAAAATTAGATAAAATTTAAAGTAAAATACAAGTTAGTGATTCCTTACATTGGTATCTCCCCAATGTGATTCCTTGAGACTGGCAGCCAGACTAGGACTGTGATGAGCACCTACACGAAGATATTGTCGCACCCTGAGTGGGAAATCAGTATCTCGATACTGGAGCAAGTAAGTGTCTGGACCATTCTGGTAGCTTTAAAAATGAAACAATATTAACACTTACTTATATAGCTATCCAAGGCATGTGAGCCAAACTACAAGAATTTTGATATACATTATTTTTTTATATTTAATGATAATAGAATAAAACATAAATCTTTGTATCTAAGTTGTTAAGCAAACATTAAAACTGAAAAGATAAAACCTAATTACCATTAGCTGGGAAAACAGTATAAGATGTTATTTCAATCAGTCAAAATTTAATAATCTTGCGTCTACATTGGAATCTTTAAAAAGCAAATCAAACTTACTGACTTTCAGATCTCACATCAATGGGTTCTCGACTGATCTTTTGCTGAAAGGTGTCATCAAATACTGCTGGTTTAACAGGAGTTCGGTTAAGTTCTGGTTCAGGACTACTGGGTGGTGTGTATAGTTCATCAGGTGGATAGATCATTTTACTTGGGTGTGTATAACAAGACTCCAGAGGTCGCCGCCGGTAAAATCGTTTACATGAAGCATTTGCATACTGAAAGTTCAATTAAATTAAAACAATGGTTTAAACCACAAAAAGTTTAACTTAAAGTTTACATGAAGCATTTGCATACTGAAAGTTCAACTAAATTAAAACAATGGTTTAAACCACAAAAAGTTTAACTTAAAGTTTACATGAAGCATTTGCATACTGAAAGTTCATTAAATTAATACAATGGTTTAAACCACAAAAAGTTTAACTTAAAGTATGGTGAGCAAAATTCTTTTCTTCCATTCTTTAATATACCTAGAATATGGAAAATGCTTTGAAACTCAAACTTAAAAAATAACCTAGAATATGGAAAATGCTTTGAAACTCAAATATAAAAAATAACCTAGAATATGGAAAATGCTTTGAAACTCAAACTTAAAAAATAACCTAGAATATGGAAAATGCTTTGAAACTCAAATATAAAAAATAACCTAGAATATGGAAAATGCTTTGAAACTCAAACTTAAAAAATAACCTAGAATATGGAAAATGCTTTGAAACTCAAACTTAAAAAATAACCTAGAATATGGAAAATGCTTTGAAACTCAAATATAAAAAAGAATTTACAGGAACCATTTCTGATGCTTTGAAGATATTTTAACACATAAAAAAATAAACACCAAAAATTACAACTCTGAGCTTAAGTAGCATATAGTGGCAAAATTTGTTTGTCCTAACAATAAAAACTGATTTAATTATTAAAAAATTAATTATTATTACTTATATCCTCACGTAAAAATCAGAATGTAAGAAAATATTTTCAAGTTTTAGAAGTCTTATTTCTTAAATATATACAGGTTATATCTTGTGAAATTATGAAAACTTGAAATGGAATAACAATTATGAGTAATTTTAAAGATGCTTTGAAACTAGCTTAGAAATGCTGTATAACTATATCATAATATTGTATAAAATCTTTCTTCTGGTGCTTACCCAGCTTTTCCACTTTTTGTAGTACTCGTGCAGCCTGTCTATTACACTCAGTGGTTGACCCTCTCTGTGAATTGTATCTGCAAACTAACAAGTTCTTTAGGTAAATGGTGTTTGAATTTTTACTGCAAGATTAAAATTTTCATTTTAATTGATAAATATTGCAACTCAAAGATGATAAAATAAAAACGCTGTATTTCTTTTTACATCTAAAGCTGTGTTTAACACATCTGTTGGAAAACTTTAAATTAGTTCAATTTCTCTAACAATCACTCACCTTTAACCATGGATGTTCTAATGCTGTTTTTACATCTATACGTCCACTGAAAAAACAAAATATTATGTTATTTAGACTTATTATCATAATAAGTTATTCCTCAGATTATTTATCTAATTTAAGTTCACCAGATAAAGTATTACTTGAAAAAAAAAATATTAACAATAATTTTCTGACCTTGATATCTAACACACAAAACTCATTCAGTAATAAAATCATCTTACATAAACAAATAATGATGATATTATGATTAAATCACAAACTCCATTATGATAGAGTGATTTGTTTTTTCCACATGATATATTAAAGATATAATTACAAATCTGACAAATTATGGAAAGTAACATGAAAAGTTCTTTTGTTGTTTCATGTGTGAGTCATGAGTGTTATACTGACAGAGGTCAATGCCTTGAGTATTATAGAGAGAAGCCATGCCTATGTTTATTAAATAACTATTAGCATTATGACACCTATAAATGATACTAACAATATAAATGTGTTATATCTCAAGCATAATAAAAATACTCATATTGTGTGAAGTGACTGTACAATGAGTATATAGTGGAAATCTACCATTGGTTAACACTCACTGTTGGTTATATATATTTTAAATGTAAAATTCATTTCTGGTTACCATCAATTGTACTTGTTAGTTTTTACATTAAGAGAACTAAATATAACTAAGCTTCAAAATAAGTTCAAACCTTGGAGAAAACACCAAAAGTCTTGAGATGAAATCTCGAGCATCGTCAGACACCGCAGCAAACGCATCTTCAAAGAAAGTAATCTTACCAGTTTGTACTCGCTTTAATGTTTCCCGATCATTCTCTCCCAGAAATGGTGAAATACCACTAAGCCTAAATATCAAATACAATTTAACCTTTAAAAGTACTTGCACTTCTTTATGTTTTATAAAGAAATTATAATAATAATTCCATGAGCAGATAATAAACAGTTTTTACTCCAAGTCAACTTCCATTGTAGCTATCAACTAGTTATATAGAATTGAAATGCATCCAGTTTAGCCTGACAATGCTACAATAAAATCTGAAAGCCTCGCATTAGATAAATCTTGGTATGTACTAAAAACCAGTTCATATTCTATTCACTGAATGCTCTCATCAACATCAAGAGCCTCAAAGGATATAATATATTAGAATTATTTGTTTAGCATTAATATTTTGGTACAAAATAAAAAGCAGTTGAATGAAAATCTATACTTACAGCAAATAATGTAATTACACCAACACTCCTGGAAAAGAAATAAATATATATACATGTCACATGCTGTATGTACAAAAATATTTTTACCATATTCAATTAAAAAATTCTATTCATTTTGGAATAATAATTTAATGTCCTATGAATGTAAAATTTGTATAAAAATAACTTTATAGTTTCCAAATAAATCATTCAGTTTGTTTTTATTTCAAATATATAATTTTATTTCTAAACATTAACTTATTAATGTAATAAATGCATAAAAGGTATAATCTGGAAAAGTACCGTGAATTTTAAAACAGATTAGTATTTGGCTTGAATTTCTATACCGATTCAATATGACCATCTATTGAATAGAGTATTTAAACATTTGTTTAACAACAAATAAAAGCTTGGAATGGTCTATTCATTCATTAGGGGTGTGTCTGTGAGCCGGACTAGTTTCGGAGAATTCCCCTTCTCATCAAAGATCATGGGCACTAACACCAATGAAATATCAGATTAAACCAAGCCTTTATAGTAGTGAGGTATCAAAATCGAAATGGTTTATTTAAGTGTTTACACTCACAAAAATCAAACTTATCAAACACTTAAACAATCTTAAATGCTAAATTAAATTTACTTCAGAAATACACTAACCAAATGTCTGCAGCTAAAGTTGCTGGTTCTTTATTAACAATCTCAGGAGCAACAAACTCTGGATGGCCATAGTCCAAAAAGTTTTCCTTTTCACGATGCAGATGCTGAGCTAGTCCAAAATCCCCAATTTTAATTATATCACCATTGACTCGTGTCACAAGAATATCCCCTATCTGAGGAAAAATTACCATTCTTAATATCCAATACAATTTATAAATTTCATGCTACAGTATAAAAACATTCCTGCTATTGAAGGCAAATACTACATACCTTGCTCTCCTGTAGCATATACTTCATCTCTACAAAATACTAAGCTCTAATCTAGAATATAGAGATCTGGTTGAGGTCATGTTCTAAATTCAATTCAAGGTGTTACTTTTAGCTTGCCTGGTCAAGGAACTTAACTGCTGTTTCATGGGTTGGTTGCATTATATCTTACTTTATCTTACTGTCACATGGAATAAACATACCTCCTCATTCTGATGTGTCCTTTTACTGATTGTTCAGCTATAGGGAAGTGTGATGTGAATATTGTTTCTTGCTTCTAAACAAGATTTTTTTGGAAATTGTAAGTGCCAAGATGTGCTCTAGAAGTGATGTCATTTCTTTTTAGTTTATCTATAAATTTCTCTCTCTCTTTTATTTAAATACAGTTCATTAACTTCATATTATTTTTTCATTCATTCTCCAATATTTTGCAATAGTTCTGCCATTACAACAATCACCTGTGTCTTACAATTCATCATCTTGAGAAAAAGGTTTTATTTTGTCTTCAACACTCTGTCTTGTCTCTTTCATTTCATCTGCAAACAATATGCTTTATATTCCAGACAGCTTGAAGAGCTATAGATTGAGTGAAATGTGTCATCAGCAATGGATATGACAAATATAGTGTGGTTGTGTAGTATATATATATATAATTATATACTCTTCTAATTCTTGAAAATCTCTAAGGGACTAGATAAAGAATGTTGTGTTTAAACATATAATAGGCCTAACACTAATGTCTTATGACAAGTACAATTATATAAAATCATGCTTTAAAAACCCCTAAGAGCCATATAAAGAATGTAGTGTTTAAACATATAATAGGCCTAATACTAATACCTTATGACAAGTGTACAATTATATTCATGCTTCATCAGCTTTTAAAGGTGTTCACACCATAGCAATTGTTCAAATACAGGTATTACCCAAAACAAAAACACACAAGAATGAGAGAAAAATGAAGACTAATTTTGTTGCTAAGTTAGCAAGACATTAATAACTGTAAACTTCAAGTTATTGAATACACTAAAATACACTCACTGTAAGGCCAAGATGGGCAATATTCTTGCTATGCATGTGTTCCAATCCTTCTAAGACTTGACGGATGTAATGAGCTACCTCTTTTTCTGTGAGTTTTCCATGCTTCAAAATGTTGTCTAACAATTCACCACCTCCACAGCTGGAAAGTTACAAGTGAAGGAAACTTGACAACAGCATGATATAACATTCAAGGAACAAACATCTTGCCTAATAATTTAATTGCAAGATAATATGGTGATGTAAGAGAAGGGAGTTCTCAGTAGTCATAGCAAACCCCTCAATTTTTGGTCTGAAGAATCTTACTTTATCTATATTTGCTGCAAGCATTTCACCATCTCCAGTTTTCTGTTTGTTTATCTTTACACTTAATATTAAAAAAAGTGTGTATTTTAAATGAGTAACTGTCTGGCTAACTTAAAACAGTGAAGTTCCAGTGACAGTGGTATGAAAGCATTACATATAATAGCAGGAGTGTGTTTGAGAGCACAATGGCACCACAAGCCTGTTAGGTAAAATGCTTGGAAGAATGTTCATCAAATGACATTATTTCTATGAATGACTAGGATAAGACTTAAAGGAAGTTGATGGCAAGGGTTTTCTTGAAGGCTTTGAGATGGCTAAGCTTTCCAATGTTTTCTATTTTTTGAGGATGTTATCTGCGTAAAGGAAAGGATATGTGGATTTGGAGTACTTAAAGACTTACAAAAACAACAACTTTTGATAAGGTATTGCACAAACGATTAGCTATAAAAATCACACTGGTATAGAATGAGAAAAGACTAGTTAGTTGGGTAATTGAACTGTAGGGTGGTTGGATGGAAAAAAGGTTGTTATTAATGTCATCTTGTCAGGTGGACCCTTTTTACTAGTGGAGTATATCATGATCATAGTTGTGGCATTTATATTTACATTAATGTTTTCATAAAGTTTGCTGATCACATTAAACTCTTGGGTACTTGTAGCTGCATTGAGGATGTTGAGATATCACAGCATAATGTGAATCAATTAGAAAATTGGACAAGTATTTGGAAAATGATCTTTAATTATAGTAAGTACAATGCATTGTATTTAGGAAAATGTTAACTTCTGAGAAAATACCTCACCTACTCACACAGAATAGATAGACTCCTACATTGAAAGGGCGGAGAGGCTGGTGCAAATAGTAAATCTAGATGAGCTTCCTTCAGAAAGTGCCCAAAGGAAAAGCCTATGGATTGTGACCCCTGATGGCAAGGGCTTCACAGGGGCACACCCATGAGACATAGCATCTCATCTCGACCAGGGGAAAACTTCATTTGGAAGTAAGAGAGAGAAAGGCAATAAAGAGCTCCAATTGTCACACTGATGGGCAGATTTATTGCAAGACCAACCAAGCTCCCATACACAAGATGTTGGCGAACCAAGAAATGTTGTGTGGTTAGGGTGAGTAAGTGGGCAGATGAGTTAAGCACTTTTCATTACCCCTAGCCCAGTGAAGATCTTGGGAAATAAGCATACATTGGGAGACAACATCAACAGTCTGGTTGGAGCCTATAAGAGGGAAAAGGGTGATGAAAAAGGAAATATACTTACCTTCTCAAAGACAGTGTAAGAGTCAAAATCCTGCAGGAGACAAAACAGTCAAATGATGAATATAATGGGAGACAAACGTGGGCAACTTTGTCTGCATGACATCATGAAAAATCTTGTCCAAGGATTGGCAAAAATGAGATAAAAGAGGGAGACTGGCAATGATGAATCTGGTGCAACAAAATGTGAAAAAGTCTGCAAACATCAATATCTAGGAAAGAATAAATCAACTGAAAGAGTTGGCAGACCATTCCAGTAAGGGTAGG